GAATCCCAGCCTGCTTTGGGTGGGAAGGGCCCTTAAAGCTCATCCGTAGCCATGGACACGTTGCACTAGAGCAGGATGCTCCAAGCATCAGTCCTTGGCGTTGCTCCGTCCTCGTTTTTAGCTCCAGGAGCCTCATTCCCACCTCTCCAGCCCTATTCCCTCTCCTCTTCCCACATCCACAAAAGCCTTTTCCCACTTCCACTTCCTTCCTTTTAATCCCGCTCTCCCACCACAGGAGGTGGCTACGGGAGCTATGGTTACGGAGGAGGCAACTCGGCCACTGCCGGCTATAGTAAGTGCTTTTTGCTCTTCCACCCCCACTTCCCAGTTCCCCCCCCCCATAAACTGGGACCAGTTCACATTTCCCTGCTTTGGGAAGCTCTCAGCCATGCTTTGGAATGGGATTTTTTATCCCCTTTTCCCAATTGGGTGCAGAGGGAAGGAGGCTTCACCCGGGGGTGATGGGAGCAGAGGTGGCCCTGGCGAGCCCGCTCTCATTCGGGGTTCTCTGCTCTGTCTCCATCCCGTCTGTAGGTGCCTTTTCCACTTGACTCCTCCTCCTTTTGGGTCTTCCTGAAGCATCCCCCCCCCAAAAAAAACCAGCTTTTCCCTTTGATCCAATTCCAAAGCCCAAAGTCCTGGGAGCACTTCCAGGGCTGCTCCGGTGCCGTTGGAGCTGGAACAACTTGAGGCACTTGGTGGGGGGGTTTGGCTTGGGATTTGCCCTGTTCCAATGCACACCCTCGGGGATCCGGGAGGGTTTGGGATGCTCGGATGGGGTTTTCCAAGCCCAAGGCCCATCCTTGCTTTTTCTTTCATGGAAAGCATTCCGTGGTTTCTCCCTCTTGGCTTCATTCCCGGTTGGGTTTGCATCCAATTGGAGCCTTGCTCTCATTGCCAGCCCCTCGGGTGGGCAGGATGGCGCGGGTTAACTTGGGATCCTGTTCACGGCCACGCACGGAGGGGTTGGGAGCATCCAGCGGGATTGGCACCGTGCTTCCCATCCCGATGCAAGGAACATCGGGCATCGGGGACTGATGCCAGGTGACTTTGGCAAAGGAGCCCGTTGTGAACGCCAAGGGGAGCGTTCGGAGCCGAGCGCCCTCAAAGCACCAAATCCCACGGCACGCGGCATCACCGGGATCGGGAATGGCAGGGAGAGAGCTCCTGTGCTGCCCAAAGGCCCGGCTTCCATCACTGGGATTGGGTGCCAGGCTCTCCCTGAGCCTCGGTGCCTCAAGGAGGACCTCAGAGCTCCACAAAGAAGAAGGTCCAAGGTGGGAAGCGGATCCGCTCCTCCTTACATCCATGGGGCCGGATGGATCGATCCCTTGCCTTGGATGTGGGGACCTTCACCACCGGTGTCAGAACTCCACCAGGAAGCGAGGAAGCGTTGGTGCCAGCGGGAAGATCCCAGTATCTCCACTGGGGAGGTGGATCCCTGGCACTTCCCGCTTGGAATGAGGCGGTGCTGCTTTAACCCCTTGCTCCTGGAAGCAGCCTCACGAGGGCCAGGGATGGGACGCGTTACCCATCGCATCACAACCCCGTGTGGAAGAGGGAAGAGCATCGCAGCATCCTATGGGATGCAGTTGGGAAGGGATGGGACAATCCCAAAAGGAAAAGGCCATCTCCGTGCTCCCGCATCAAGGTTTTCCTATGGCAAACTTCCCTGCTTCCAAGGGCCGTTGTGGACCCTGCTGCTGGAGCCTTGGACCCATTGGAAGACGCACGTTGGCTTTCCACCATGGAGTCATCTCCCCCCATCCCAACACCACGACTTCCCCGAAGCTCGAGCCTCGCCAACCCCACCGCAGGGCTTTTCCCTGTGCCATTCCCATTGGGATAACCCCAGGCTGCGCCGTCGGGAACCTCAACCCCATTCCTCGGTGCGGGAATGAGCTCCCTCCGTCGGTCCCACCCCATGGGCCTCAGGGGGGTATTTAGCGCTCCGTGGGGCCGGAGGTTGGGAATACCCCCTCCCCACCACCCCCCCATGGCATTCCCAACCTTTGGAAGCCTTTTGGTGCCTCGGGGCTGACGCTCTTCTCTCTGTTCAGGCCAATTCTACAGCAACGGCGGCCACAGCAACTCGGGCAGCGGCGGCGGCGGCGGCTCCGGCGGCTCCGGTTACGGCTCCTACTACCAAGGAGGGGACAACTACAACTCCCCGGTGCCCAAGCACGGGGGGAAGAAGCAGCAGCACGGGGGGCAGCAGAAAGGCTCCTACGGCTCCGGCTACCAGGCCCATCAGGGCCAGCAGCAGCAGGCCTACAACCAGAACCAGTACGGCGGCGGCGGCGGCGGCAACTACGGCCCGCCGCAGGGCAAGCAGAAGGGCTACAACCACGGGCAAGGCAATTACTCGTCCTACTCCAACTCGTACAACTCGCCCGGAGGGGGAGGCTCTGATTACAGCTACGAGAGCAAATTCAGTGAGTAAATAAGGGGGGGGGATCAATAGATCAATAGGTAACGGGGGAAGAGTTGGAACATGGAGGAATAGGGTTTGGGACCGGAGGGATGGGATATAGGGATGGTTTGGGGAGCAGAAGGGGGGAGATGCAGGATGAAGAGTGGGATGCAGGCAGTGGGGTGGTGGGTGCCCCATGGCTGGGCTCTATGGGGATGGTTTGAGAGCAGAGGAAGGAGATCCAGGCTGGAAGCAGCAGGGATGAGCGGGATGCAGGCAGTGGGGTGGTGGCTGCCCCATGGCTGGGCCCTATGGGGATGGTTTGAGAGCAGAGGAAGGAGATCCAGGCTGGAAGCAGCAGGGATGAGCGGGATGCAGGCAGTGGGGTGGTGGGTGCCCCACCATTGGGCCCTATGGGGATGGTTTGAGAGCAGAGGAAGGAGATCCAGGCTGGAAGCAGCAGGGATGAGCGGGATGCAGGCAGTGGGGTGGTGGCTGCCCCATGGCTGGGCTCTGTGGGGATGGTTTGAGAGCAGAGGAAGGAGATCCAGGCTGGAAGCAGCAGGGATGAGCGGGATGCAGGCAGTGGGGTGGTGGCTGCCCCATGGCTGGGCCCTATGGGGATGGTTTGAGAGCAGAGGAAGGAGATCCAGGCTGGAAGCAGCAGGGATGAGCGGGATGCAGGCAGTGGGGTGGTGGCTGCCCCATGGCTGGGCTCTGTGGGGATGGTTTGAGAGCAGAGGAAGGAGATCCAGGCTGGAAGTGCCAGGGATGAGCGGGATGCAGGCAGTGGGGTGGTGGCTGCCCCACCATTGGGCCCTATGGGGATGGTTTGAGAGCAGAGGAAGGAGATCCAGGCTGGAAGCAGCAGGGATGAGCGGGATGCAGGCAGTGGGGTGGTGGGTGCCCCACCATCTGGGCCCTATGGGGATGGTTTGAGAGCAGAGGAAGGAGATCCAGGCTGGAAGCAGCAGGGATGAGTGGGATGCAGGCAGTGGGGTGGTGGCTGCCCCATGGCTGGGCTCTATGTAACCTATGTGGGGTGAAGCTGCCCCCGAAGCTCTTTGCGGCCCCTTTCCCCCCCCACTTGGCTGCTCTGCTCCATTGCACTGAGGTGGAGGAGGCCACCAAGCGATGCCAATGGGGGCCTCTCCTGCTCTGCCCCCCCCCCCCAAGCATCACCCCCAGAGCAGGGAGAACCCCCCCCAGTTTTGGTGCTCACCGCGCTCCCCCCTTCCCTCCCGGCCAGGTTACGGCAGCAGCGGCCGCGGCGGCAACAACTACTCCGGTGCTTCCTACAACACGGGCGGCTACGGGGGGGGCTCGGGGGGCGGCGGCTCCTCCTACCAAGGTAAGCAAGGTCAGTACCACGGCGTGGCGTTCCCGGGATGCTTCCCGTGCGGCGTCCATGGCACGGGATCGGGACGGGAGCGGTGCCGGCGCTCGGCCCCGGCGCTCACCGGGGGCAATCCTTGTCCTTCCAGGTGGATATTCCTCCCAATCCAACTACAACTCCCCCGGCTCCGGGCAGAATTACAGCGGCCCCCCCAGCTCCTACCAAGCTTCCCAAGGAGGCTACGGCAGGAACGACCACAGCATGAGTTACCAGTACAGATAGAGCCGCGGCTCCGGGGCCTCCGGGCCCTCCGGAAGAGGCGTTTTCCCACTTCCTGGAATGAGGGAAACATCATCCCATCCCCCTCCACACCTCCCCCCCCCCCGTCTTTTTTTTGCCCCCATTTCCATGTTGCCGTGCTCCCTTTTTGTGCTCCCACCACCGAGGGTCAAGTGATCCCGTTCGTAGCTGTTCCCGTTGGGCCTCGCTGGATCGAATGGGTTGTTGGTTGCCGTTTGTCACCAGAGGGATGCCGATTGATGATTATTAATTATTAATTATTAATTATTATGGTTACCCGAGGGGGGGTTTTCTTTGTCGTCGTCGTCGTTGTTGTTGTCGGGAGCCCCATCCGAGCCCGGTCTCCCTTTTTTAATCCCATTGGCAAAGGTGGCCCCGGCTCTGAGCCCGCGACGGAGGTGTCCCCGTCACCCGCCGGCGCTTCTGTGCAGTGAGTCCCAGCAGCTTCTGCTTGTCTCTTTAAGGCTTTAGTGTTCCAGGTTTAGAAGTGGGGGGGGGTAAGGAATGGGAAAGGGATGGGGAAAGGGATGGGGGGGGGTTTAATCCGCCCGCATCCCGCGGGAAGCACGCCTGGAGTAAGCTGAATGTAGATGAATAAACACCCCCAACCTGACACCGACGCCTCCCCTTCCTCGCACCTCCCCTTCCCCTTGGGAATGTGCTTCCTTGAATGACCCAAACCTCTTGGGTTTGAGACCAAACCTTAACACCCCCCCCCTCCTCTTTCTGCCTATGGGAAGCGCTCAAGGGAGCACCCAAGAACCGGTTTCTCCGGGTGTCACTTCCTGGTGGTGAGCTCCAAACCGGCGCCGCGGTGTCAAGCAGGGCTTACGGCACAACCCACGTCCCCAGGACACCACAGCCATGGCAACGGGGCCGCTCGGCCACCCTCTTATGGGGCTTCAAAGGAATCAGGCCCCCCCATTGACCCCACGGCATCACCGGCGCGGTTCAGTCCCCCTTGCACCTGCCTTGGGCCTCTTGGAAGCGTGGCCAAAGCGCCAGCACCTCCCTGGGGGGGTACTGATGGACCATGACGGCGCGGGCGAAGCGGCACGGCTCGTAGGGGATGCGCCCCACGGAGAAGGCGCCCCAAGGGCCGGCGGTGACGGCGACGCCGAGGGCGCGGAGGCAGATGCCGACGAAGGCGTCCTCCATGGGGACGAGGGGCAAGGTCTGCGCCGCGGCGTAGACGCCGGCGGCCACGTCGGCGGAGAGGACGTAAGCCGGGCCGGCGCAGTACGGCGGGTACGTGGCGTCGGGGTACACCTCGTAGGGCACGAACCACTTGGAGGCCTTGCTCCGGATCGGGCCCGTGCCCCGGTAGACGTAACCGGTGACGAAGCCGGTCTTGGGCGGCATCAGCAAGCGCCGGGTCAAGTAGGAGAGGTTGAGGAAGACGTCGGTGTCGGCCTTCATCACGTACGTGGCGTTGGGGCAGTGCTTGCTCACCCATTCCATGCCCATCAGCGTCTTCAGCGTGAGGTTGTTGTAGGTATCCAGGAAGTCCTGCTGGATGAGGTCGCCGTATTCCTGGTTTTCCTCGTGGAGCACCGGCGCCAGCGCGTCGGCGAACACCGGATGGACGCCGAGGAGGAAGAGGCGCACGATGGAGACGCCCGGCACCGAGCTCTCGTTGCCCCACGTCCGACGGATGCAATCCCGGCTCCCGGTGGCCTCCGGCGCCGTCGCCACCAACAGCACCAGGAATGGCGCCCGCTCCCGGCACTTATGGGGCTGGTTGAGGAGGAAGCGGTAGGGATGCGGATACGGCGGCCGCAGCGGGTGCCGGGCGGCAAGCGCGGTGTTCCCGGCTGGAAGCAGCGGGACCCTTTGCCATTGGAATGCCGCAGGAGTCGGGCCCGGCGCCGCGGTGACGGGCTCCTCGGGTCTGTGCCGCAGCCGCAGCCCCACCAGTGCCACCAGTGCCACCAGTGCCGGCAGCAGCAGCAGGCGAGGGCTCGGCTGCCACTTCATGGTAGGGCGCTGCCTGTGGGGGACACCGGCACCTCAATAACCCCCCCCCCCCCCGATGCCACCGAGGTGGGGGGGAGTCCAGCCCATTCCCAACCAGTTAAACCAGTAAAACCAGTTGGGGTCCCTGCAGCCCCATAGGAGCCATAGGGCTCAGAGTCCAGCACTGCCACGTTCAGCCCCGGGCTGCATCTCCCGGCCCTTCCCAGGCACTCCCGGTTTCCCCAGGGGCTGTTCCAAGTGGTTCCCAGTTACTCCCAGTGGCTCCGGGCCCCCCTGGGTGCTGCTCCCAGCCCTTCCCAGTCACTGCCGGTCACTCGAGGTTCCTTCAGGCTCTGTTCCCACCTCTTCCCAGTCACTCCAGGCTCCTCCAGGCGCTATTCCCACCTCTTCCCGGTCACTCCCAGTCGCTCCAGGCGCTATTCCCACTTCTTCCCGGTCACTCCAGGTGCTATTCCCACCTCTTCCCAGTCACTCCAGGTGCTATTCCCACCTCTTCCCAGGTGCTATTCCCGCCTCTTCCCGGTCATTCCCAATCGCTCCAGGCGCTATTCCCACCTCTTCCCAGTCACTCCCAGTTGCTCCAGGTGCTATTCCCACCTTTTCCCAGTCACTCCCAGTTGCTCCAGGTGCTATTCCCACCTCTTCCCGGTCATTCCCAATCGCTCCAGGCTCCTCTGGTCGCAGCTCCCAGCCCTCCCCAGTCCCTCCCAGTCCCTCCCAGCCCTTCCCAGTCCCTCCCAGCCCTTCCCAGTCCCTCCCAGTCCTTCCCAGTCCTTCCCAGTCTCTCCCATTCCCCCTCACCTGTGGCCAGGGCCGGAGCTGCCGCTGGCACTGACGTGGCCGTGGTCACCCCACCCTGTCCTCAAACTTCCTCCTGTGCCCCACTTGACGTGTGGGGCCCGCCCCACCCCACTATGGGGCAGAGGTTGGTCCATGCCCCCCCCACCCCACTATGGGACAGAGGTGGGTCCATGCCCTCCCCCATCCCTCTATGGGGCAGAGGTTGGTCCATGCCCCCCCCCCACCCCGCTATGGGACAGAGGTGGGTCCATGTCCTTATTTAGCCTCTCCCAACCCCATTTTCCCCGCCCAGCCCCACAAGCTGCTGTTCCCACCAAGCACCTTTATTGTGACCCCCCCTTCAAAACCCATTAAAATAGTAAAAAAAACCCTAAAACGCATAAAAAAAGCCCAGGTGGGGGCGGGGGGTGTCCCCGTTATTCCAAGGGGATCCCAGCAGCCTCCAGCGCCTCCCGGACCCACGGCGGGACCTGCGCCCCATAGTGGGAGCTCAGGAAGCCCCGCACGAACTGCGGGAAGCGCTGCTCCAGGATGCTCTGGCGGATGGAGGCCATCAG